CAGACTTGTTGTGTGCGAAAACTGGGGGAAGATGTGCGGCAGATAGAATTGCTTGAAGCGCTCAAACAGGAACACAAAGCACTTGTGTTGGCGTGTGAGGCGGTCCCGCCACTCGATGCGCGGTACCTGTAAACATACACATAGCACCCAGCACATTGAAGCCATCAATATTTAATTAAACAGTACACATCTGAGGCTAAATAATGAAAAACTGAAATTTCTATTACAGAATTTTAAAAGCAGAAGGAAATTGTCTGACTGTTACTTTTACGCAACGCATTTAGACTCTTTAACCCTCTACATGATCTGAATACTGCAGTGCACTTTGAAATGATATTATGCAGGCACAATGGACTTCACCCACTACAATGATTCTAGTCCACTTGATTTTAATGCATGGATATCAATATACATAAAATACATTACATACACAAAATCTGTAACATCTAAGAGCCTCTCAAAAAAATAGGCATCTTATTACAGGCTTGTTCACCCTTTTCCTTCTGCAGAATTGTAGGTGCCTCTAAACAAAGGGAAGATAGAAGTTGGAAAGAGGGTTTGGGACTGGATTTCAAACAGTAGCTGAATTCCAAAAAATAAATATTAACACAATATATCAATATTCACCAGATAGCCATTTTTGTGAAAACACACTTTGATTATGTTAATTTCTTCAGCCACAATTAAAAGAAGTTATCTGTCCCTCTACTGGTCAGGCAGCAATGATTAAAAGTAGCTGTTATATGAGCTGAAGGTTTATTATTATTCCTTTCTCATCACCAGTCTAGTTTTTTGCTGTATAATTTTTTTTTTTTTTATTGTACTACGTAGGCAAAAAAATAGCCTGATGAGAACAAAATAGTTCTTGAAATGTTGCTAATAAAACTACTGAAAAAGAATATATATAATTTTATTTCAATTACTGTTTTTACTAAATACAAAATTGTCAACAAACGAAAATGGATCATACACAAATTTGACTTTAATAAGACAATCAAAATAACAAGAAACATACTTGACTATGTATGGTTACATTTCCTAAAGTCAGTAGCATGCAGGCAAGTGTGTAGAGCTTAGTTGTTAATAAACATAAAAAATAGAGCAATTGAAAGAAAGTGTTCATAGATCAAGCTTGGCTTGGTCATAAGGATTTGGGAAGTTCAACAATGCAGAAGAATAGAGATTTGTGAAATTGCTCTAGGAAAGTGTGAGAAAATAACGATCAAATCTGATTTAACAGTAACAGCTGGCATTTCAATTCTAGATGTGATGTTAGAAAAATATATATGAGGGGGTAAAAACTGAAAATGAAGCATTTGAACAATTCAAAGAATCTTTTAAAAGTTTGCTAGATAAGGAGGGCTAAAATATCAGAAATGACTACAATACAGAGGACAATGACTTATATTGGAAGAAAATTTGGAAAAAAAAGTCCTAATTTCAAGTATTGAAATATCAATACCTAGCATTAAGCAAGGTGTGTTGAAATATTACGGGAACACACAATTATCCCTGCTAATCATAGAAGTCCAAAAATCCACAATGTTTGTAGGGAATAAACAATGTGTCGCTCACCGACAAAACCCAATGAATGAATGGATGTACACATTTATTTTTATGGAATGTAATGACACAATATTCATGCCAGATGTCATAATAGAAACTTGGTACTTACTTGAAATGTTTTATTGTTCATCAATAATGCCCTAAGGTACCCTCTAACCATTCACTTGAAAGAGAAAAGGAAGTTTTTTCACTTTCCAAAGCTACTTCAATTCTCCAAAGAACTGGGTGTTATTAAAGCTTCAATCACTATTACAGGAAGGCATTTATGTGTAAGGTTCTCACAGGGCAAGAAGAAAAACACTCGATGGATGGCGGATGTTGTGGCAAGAAGGATCAGTAGAAGCATGGATAGAGAATTGGAGCATCTACATATAACATTCCTCTAAATTTGATCACTAACCGGAAGTGAAAATATTTATTTTGTTTTAATATATTGTAACCAGCTAAGTCCGAAGGACACACAAAGTAAAAGACAACAGATGGCGATTTTCATTTCGACACAACAATTGAAATAATGTTATTCTTTTGTTTATTGTCTCAGTTAGTAGGCCAAAACATGACCCTTTGTATTGTTGTCCAACAAATTTGTTCTTTTGGTAAGAAAGAAAGCTTGGCAATTTCCATTTCATTACAACCACAAGGTATCTAGGAAGAAACTCAGCTCTGATGCTGGAGACATGGTGTGGGGTACGTGCAAACAGTATTGTGGAACACTTCTTTTTGTCCACCTGTAAACCAAAGTAACAATGGGACTTGAACATTTCAAGGGCTTACTTTTCGACAATTTTATTTATTAAAACCATGCGGTCTGCAAGGAGTCGAAAAGATAAATTTGCTGCTTTGAGGGTCACATGGAAATTCCATGGAAATTTGAAAAAGCATTACTATTCTGGAACAGACATTACTATCCTTGAAATGCTAATTCCATTATGAGGCAGATGCCCATTTAAACAATACATACCTACAAAACAGGTAAGTATGTATGAGGGAGTGATAGCCTGCAATGTAAGTACTATCCTCTAAATTATTTGCCATATACCAGGAAGGAAAATGGTGAAAAGGGTGCTTCTAGGTTTGAGTAGCAGAGTGGTTCAAACTCTCAACTAACCATATCAAAGAACTCACAAGAATGTCACATGTCACAATTACTTCATGGACAAGACCTTCATAGAACATCTTCATATAAATGGTCTCACTCTTGACAGATCTGTTCGAAAGAACTAGAGAATTCATTCCTCTCGTGAATTCATCTATTTTTGACTTTGCAAGGGTATCTACTTTGCTATGGTACGTTTTAAAGCAGAACAAAGCAGTCTTCCTTCTTTCCATACTTGCACAGAAGACCCAGGTAATAAACCAGATATAATACTCCATTACAATTACAAGAATTGTGGAATAGACACCCTGGACCATCCTAAATCAAAGAAAAACAAACAGATAAAGATTTTTTTAATGGTCAAATGTGCAGCCAACATGGAATACGCAGAAACAATCCTTTACATTTATTCTTGCCTGAGGTATAAGAGGGCATCATTCAACCACACACTGAAAGGAGAAGTACTATGAGACTCCAGCAAAAGACATTTTCAGCTCAAAAAGAAGTTGGACAAACTAAATTTTATTGTAACTTCCCAAATGAGTAGTTCTACACCTGCACACAAGATTGCATTCAGAAACAATGTTGCAGCAAACGTCACCAGTGAGTCTGCAATGACTATTGTGATGAACCCTGTTTTTGCAAGAAGTGTAAATAATGAACTACTTTAATTAAAATATGTGAATTAAAAGGAAAGAAAAGTTTAAACTTGCTCAATACATGTTGAATTCTTGTAAAATATGTTAAAATCCATCATCATTTCTTAAAAGTTTTTGCAATATTAAAATAATTATTTTGATTAATTATTCATTTTCCATCATTAAATTCAAATCCTAAAATAATGAAAACAATAGATGTGAACAAGCTGAAGAAGAGAATAGAGGAAAACATTTATTGTACAGCAGTGTCTGGTAGACACTTAAGACACAAAAGTATCTTAAAGAATCCTAGATTCTCGTGAGTTTAAAATCTGAGTTCTGTTTTCAGAGTTCTTGTTTGTCAAGCAGTAAGAATACAACATTTGATAAACATCTTTGTATCATTTGTTGTGACTGTGAGGATGTCTAACTCAGTTTTCTCCGTGGTGAGCATTGCTGCCTGGTAAGCAATTTCATTCCTTGTTATCCCAATGTGAGCAGGCACCCAACAAAAAACAAAATTATATGACGCACCAATAAATTATGGACTTGGAGCCGAATGATTATCGTTAGAGGGTCACAAGAAGAGAAGCAGGAGATACATTCAAGTGAGCTTTTTGAATCACTGCTTCCTTTAATGTCATAGATGGCACACCTTTCTATGTTATAAGTGCTGCATGAAGAGTCTATACAAAGACTCCACGTGGCACTGTGGCTGTAGAAGGCACACCCTACATTACCATTTTGGAAGGAACCATTAGTGTATATGAAGTTATAGTCAGGATACATTGATTTCGTCTTTGGAATTCTGCCACAAATGTACTGGTGGGGGATGAAGATTTGGGGTAGTGTGATAATCTCTGGATTATTTTAGGCCAAAAGAGATTCCAAGGGGGAACAAGACTTTGGGGGGGGGGGGGAGTTCTCAGGGATGGGGAGTTTTAAGTTTTATATCTAGTTTCTGCAAAAACCTGTAGACACAAATACCCTGAGGATGGGCTAATGGTCTGAGTGCATACAATGTCCTGTGATTTCGGTGAAGAGCTGCTTGGCGTGAAGGAGTATTTATGGCTGATACTTTCGTACTATTGGAGCCAATTACAATATATCACCTTTGGCTTGGGGATGGTTCACCAGCTTAGGCCAAGGCATTATGTGCGACTTGTGTGGTAGGTGCTTGTGCTGATCCATATATCGGTATTGTGTATGGTATTCAATGACCGGAGGATCGATGGAGATGCTGACTCATAAACAATACACCTATAATCTAAGATAGGATAAATGAGGGTCCTATATATACAGAAAAGACATATTTGGTCTGCACCCCATGATCTACCAGTAAGGGTGCGAAGGAGGTTCAGTAGTAATACATAGCGGCTCTTCAAGTTTTGAATATGCTTTCACCAAGTTAAATGTCAGTCCAGATTTGGCAAAGGGAAGTTAACCCTCCAACCCCACCCCACCCCAAAACAAAGATCCGATTGATTATGGAGATGATATATTCTACAGACGTGCATGCAACTGGATTTTGACACAGAGAACTTCAATCTAGTTTTATCCCTCCATTCTTGCAGTTTGTCGAGGACAAGCTGTAACTGCTCCCCAATAACTTGCATGCTATTCGAGGAGCAGAATATGGCAAAGTCATCAATGAAGAGCGAAGCTTTCACAGGCTCTCAAATTACAGATGCAATACTATTGACAGCAATTGCACAAATAGTGACACTCAGAATTAATCCCTGGGGAACACCGTTTTCTAACTGTAAACTTGAGGATAACATGTTACCAAGGCAGACACAGCAACATCTTAACGAAAGAAAATCTACTAGAAATGAAGGGAGCCGTCCCCTAAGGCTCCAAGAATGCCATACCTCCAGGTGGCGTCATAAGCTTTCTCTATATCCATAAAAATTGCTAACAGGTGTTGTCATAGCACGAAAGAAGTGGAGATCTATGTGGCAAAGGATACTAAGTGATCCATGGTTGACCTGTTGATCCTGGTTGGCTTCCTGAAACCACACTGAAATGGTGTAAACAGATTCCTTTGTTCCAGGAGCCAGACCAGTCATTTTTTTTACCATTCGCTCTAAAAGCTTACACACACAGCTTGTAAGCGAGATTGGGAGGTAACTTAAAGAGTGTGTTCTATCGTTTCCTTCATTAGGGGTTGGAATAACAATATCTTAACGCCAAATCCTTGGTAAGGAATGTTCATCCCAAATCAGGTAGAAAAGACTGAGGAGAAAAAAAACAGAAATTTCCCAGGAAATGTTTAAGCATTTGATTATGTGTCTGATCTGGTTCTGAAGCAGAATCCTTTCCATAATCGAGGGCCCAGGAAAACTCATCCATGGAAAGAGGAACATTGTAATCTTCCTCCACGCGACTCACGAAATCGTCTGCAATTCTCCGTTTTTCTTTTGGTCTTTAGAAAGCTAGGAGAGCAGTCAATCCTAGCTCTGGCTTGTAATGTTTGATAATTTGTCAGATTATCCATGGTTGAGAACCTACTAAGCTTTGCCAAAGCCCGTTTCCGATCACGCACCGCAGTGGCACAGTCGGCATTCCACCATGGCACAAGAGAATGTCGTGGGTGACCCGACGAGTTCGGTATTGTAACTATAGTCGCATGAAGAGTGGCATCAGTAAAACAAGCAACCATAGTAACGATATCATTTGGGCAGTGCAACACCATCGTGAGCATGAAGCCCGTCATCTTGATCACACCAATAGATGTTAAACCCCAGAAGCAAGAGAATGATGGGGAAGAATATGTGTTTCCTGAAGGCAGGCTGTAGATGGTCTATGTCAAGAAATTATCAGTCTCAATTCATCTGAATGAACTCAGAAGCTGTTTAGATTCCAGAAAAGAGCCATTGAAGGGAATTACCTATTTCCCTTTTTTTCTTTTTCACCTTCTGAAAAGTTGTAAAGGAACTTATTTTTCCTTCAAATAAAATTTGTTCTCTATTGTGAGTTCTTTCATTAAGGTCACATTCATCTTTTTGAAAATTTTAGTAGTCTTTGCCCAATATTGCATGCAATATGTGCAATTTTAAAAAATTACAGAAACAAGATTTTCTCAAAAACCGCTCAAAATTTGTTCTTTAATCTTTTGTTAGAAATAGAGCAAAACGTATACTATTAGATGACATAAATGCCATTTTGCTCTATCCTTTTGTTTTTTTTTTAAATTACAAAAATGTAAATTTTTTGAAAGATCTCTCATGCTATTGCTTGCACATTTCGAGCAATTTGTAAACACTATTGTATCTGAGTTAAAGTACTTCAAACGATTTCAAATGAAGTTTTTCCTAAACTCATACTTTACTACGACACTAGATATAACACGGGTTATGCATTCCATTCTCTCTGAAACAGAGATATTTCAAATGTAACTTACTTGGGAAACAATGAGTTCCAGGAGAGCATCCAAAAAGAATTTCATAGGATCATCAGGTTGTTTCTCTCCGCTTTGAGGTGGCAGAAGAGGGAGAATATCAACAGCACTCACAGGACCTGCTAAAGAAACAACCAAAATGTTGAGAGAAAATCTTATATTTCAAAAACTTTGAAGTAATATTTTTGAAATTACAAGCAAGATGAGAAACGTCTCATCAATATATAAGGCAATCAACCCACAGAAATAAAATCACATGAAACCATTATCATTTTGAATATACCCGAGTTTCATAACCATACCACTTGACCAATATCACGCGCACGCGCGCGCACACACGCGCACGCGCACAACACCGCGAACACGCGCACCGCGCGCAACACACGCGCGACACACGCGCGCGCACACTTGCGCACGCCGCGCACACGCGCAACACGCGCGCACACCACGCGGCACGGACACACACGCGGCACCGCACACACGCGTAGCACGCACACACGCGTGCACGACACACGGGCACGGTGCACGCACACACGGGCACGTGCACGCACACGCCGCGCACACGCGTACACACGCGCGCACACGCGTAACGCCAAACGCTACACGAACACGCGCTACACACGCGTACACACGCGCGTACACACGCGCGTACACGCGTACACACCGCGCAACACGCGCACCACACCGCGCACACACGCGCCAGCGACACCGCGCCCACCACCACGCCACACGCGCGCGCAACGCGCACACCGCGCGCACGCGCACACACACCGCGCACCGCACACACCGCCACCACACGCGCACACACGCGTCACGACACACGCGTGCACCACACACGCACGTGCAGCACACCGCGCGCCACACGCGTACACCGCGCGCACACGCGTACACGCGCGCACACGCGCGTACACGCGCGTACACGCATACACACGCGCGCACACGCGCGCACGACAGCGTACAAACGCGCGACACAGCTACACGCGCACGCACACGCGCGCGCACACGGCGTACACGCGCGCACACGCGTACACGCGCGCACACCGCACACACGCGCGCACGCACACACTGCGTACACAGCCGCGCACACGCGTACACAGCGCGCAACACACGCGCGCACACGCGTACACACGCGCGCACACGCGTGTACACACGCGCCACACACGTACACCGCACGCCGCCACACGCTCACATCGGCGCACACGCGTACACACGCGCCGCACACCGTCACACGCGCGACACGCGTACACCGCTCGCACACGCGTACACACGCGCGTACACACGCGCGTACACACAGCGTACACACCGCGTCACCGACACACGCGTACCACACGACCCGCGCACACGCGTACACACGCGCGACACACGCTACACACGCGCGCACACCGCGTACACACGCGCGCACACGCGTTACACACGCGCGCACACCGCGTACAACACCCTACCGCGTACACACGCCGCACACGCCGTACACACGCGCAGTTACACCACCGCGTACACACGCGTTACACACGCCGCGTACCACAGCGCGTAACACGCGTACACACGCGTACACACCTTACACACGCGTACAACACGCGTCGTACACACTCGTACACACGCCGCACACACGCTACACACCGCGCACCGCGCACACACGCTGCACGCACACACGCGTGCACCACACCACGGCTGCACGCACACACGCGTGCACGCAACACCGCTGCAACCACACACCGCGTCACCCACACACGCTTGTGCACCACACACGGGCACGGGCACGCACACACGCGCGCACACGCGCCTACACGCGCGCACACGCGTACACGCATACACCGCGTACACACGCCGACACACGCGCTTACACACGGCGTACACACGCGTACACACGCGCCAACACACGCGCGCAAACACGCTCACGCGCACAACACGCGCGCACACACCGCCCACACGCGCGCACACACACCGCGCGCACACACGCCCGCGCACGCGCGCGCACGCGCACACACACGCTGCACCGCACACACACGCGCACACACGCGTGCACGCAACACGCGGCACCACACACGCCAGTGCCACGCAACACACGCACGTGCACGCACCACACGGCACGTGCACGCACACTGCAGCGCGCACCACGCGTACACACGCGCGCACACGTTACTTACACCGCGGCACACGCTACACGCGCTACCACACGCACACGCGGCGCACACCACACCCTACACGCCCACACGCGCACACACCACACCCCACACGCGCCTACAACACTAACACCGCCACACCCGGCTACCACGATACACCGCCACACCGCCACACACGCTACACCCGCGCACCACCGGCTACACACCTACACACGCGTACACACGCTACACCACGCGCGCACACGGGTACACAACCGCGCACACGCGCACACACCGCGCACACACGCCGGCACACACCGCGTACACACGCGCCACACGCGTACAACACGCGCTACACGCTTACACACGGCCGCACACGCTACACACGCCCCACACGCCTACACACGCTGCGCACACGCTTACACACGGCCTCACAACGCGTACACACGCGCGCACACGCTACACACGGCGTACACACCGTACACACGCCGCGTACCACGGCTACACACCGGCTAACACGCGCCACACGCTTACACACGCGCGCACCACCACGCTTTACACACGCGCGCACACGCACAACGGCACGCGCACCACACGCGGCGGCACACGCGCACGCGCACACACGCCGCACACGGCGCGCGCACGCGCACACACGTCGCACCCACACACACCGCGCACACACGCGGCACGCACACACGCGGCACGCACACACGCACTCCACGCACACGCCGCGTCACACCTACACACGCGCCGCACACGCGACACCCCACACGCACACGCCCACCACCTTACACGCGCGCACACGCGCACACCTACACCGCCACACGCCGCAACACGCGTACCACGCGCGCACACCTTACACGCGCGCCACCCGGCACACGCGCCACACGCGTACACGCGCGCACACCGTATACGCGCGCACACCCGCCACACGTCGCCACACCGACGTATACGCGCGCCACACGCGCACACGCGTTACAACGCGCGCACACCGCGCACACGTACACCGCCACACGCGTACACGCGCGCACACGCGCGACACACGGCGTACACGGCGCCACAACGCGCGTACACACGGCGTACACACGAGCCGGCGTACCAACCGCGTCAACGCGCTCACACGCCCCGCGTACACACGCGTACACGACCGTACCCCGCACACACGCGTACACACTCGCGCACACCACGGCGTACCACACGCGCACACACGCGCGCCACACACGGGTACACACGCGCGCACACACCGTACACACGCGTACACACGCGCACGCACACACGCGTACACACCGCGTAACACACGCGCGCCACACCGTCACACCACGCGCGGCACACGCGTACACTAGCGCGCACACGTCACGCGTCACACACGCGCACACACGCGACACAGCGCGCATACACACGTACACCGGCAGCGCACCACTGACGTACACACGAGCGCACACGGCGTACACGACGAAGCGCACACGGTACACACGAGCCGCACACGCGTACACACGCGCGCACCGCTGCTCCGCACGCGGCAACGCTACACGCTGACACGCGCGCCACGTACACCGCGCGCACACGCTACACCACGCGCGCACACGACGTACACCACGAGCGCACCACGCTACACACGATGGCGCACACGCGTACACACGACGCACCACGCGTACAACGCGCCACCGCGCCCGCTACACGCGACACGCGCTAGCACACCGTACCAGCGCGACACGCGTACACACCGCGCGCACATCGCGTACACCACAGTCGCGCACACGCGTACACACGCGCGCACACGCCGTACACACACGCAGCGCACACGCGTACACACGCGCGCACACGCGTACACACGCGCGCACACGCGTACACACGCGCACGTGCAGTGTATAAAAAAATAAAAATTATTCATCTGATACCTGGCACAATGTCATGGAAGACAGCTGAACTGCGCATCAGTGCCGGTAGACCCAGGCCCTGAAATGGTGATGGAAAGCCTGGTACCAATGTTGCAAACATTGCATGCAATGTGTCTGGTGCATTATCCCCAAGGGCCTGATACCATAAGAGAAAGTACCTGAAAAACAAACAAAAATTATAAGAAAGTGTTTTATCATAAATGTTTCCTTTTCTCTAATACCAATAACAGCAGTGCCATACAATTAACTGTAACGATTGTTTAAATTGTTCTACTTACATTGGAAGGATGTCTTTGGTTAAACCACATGCCACCATGTTCTAAAACATTTTTTTTACAGCGGAAATGTAACTTTAACCTTTTTTTAGATAAATAACTTTTTAAGGCTGAATCCATGCATCTAAATAATCATCTACAAAATCTGTGTTCATCGCAACACTGCTTGCCTAGCTTAAAACCTGCAGACTTTACACATACAAATAAATATTTCCCCCAAAATTCGTACATCAACAGAAAGTTTTCAACCCAATATTAAATGATTTGAAACATAGAAATAGGCAAGATATCCCACAAGGTTTGATCTTAGGTCCTATTCTCTTTCCGTTACGCATGAACGATAGAATCTTGTCTATTAAAAATGGAAGAACAGTTCTGTTTACATATGACAAATGTTCTTTACAAAAAATAAACAATAAATAGTAAGATTTCAGAAGCTTAAAATTGGATTCGTAATAACAAAATAATAGTTACATAAGGAAAAGTACATACATAAAGATTTTCAAAGGGGCAATCGCATGCTCCTTTGAACAATATACAATTAGCTTATGTTAAATTACCGAAATTTCTAGGTCTCTCAATTCTGTCTAACCTCAAATGGAATATACATATAACAGAATTAAATACTAAATTAAGTTCATTATGTTACACATTCAGAATTCTTTCAAATACTGTCAGCCTTCATACAACTCGTTGCGTGTATTTTGCTTATGTTCATTCCCACTTCAGATATGGCATAATATTCTGGGGAAGCTTATTCTGTAATTTCCAGACCTTTAGATATCAAAAGAAAATTATTTCAAACTCAAACAAATTAACTCAAACAGGGAAAACAATGCCATCCATGTGATCTCTATAAGCCTAACTTCATCGTGCTTGGAATCTTACCAATGTCTTTCCTATTTAAGATCTGTAATTATTGTCAAAACTGACTTATTTAATGGTGGGAACATATTTTTATGCAATACTGATATATATAATTATAACACACATCATAGAAATCACGTTAATTAAGTGTCAGTATCAACAGTTCACTACAAGAAGTCCAAATGCAATACTGTACATGAACTTTGCAATGCACTGCACGTTGACACACACGCACGCACACGCGTGCGCGCGCACACACACACACACACACACACACACGTGCGCGCGCGCAGACACACGTGTATACATACACACGCACATGCATGCACATACATACACATATATACAATAGGTATAGTATAACTTTGATGAAGGATTTCAATGCAAACAGGGCATTACTCAATAATGGTCTTCAGAGCAATCTCAGAGGAGTTTATCAACCACTATTTTATCATACTTTTAGTTGATATATTATTTACGTTCAATTTTTTTAAATTATGTGGAAGAAAATTGTAAACTTTATAACTGATATATTCAAAATTTCTTCTACCAATATCCTTTTTAAGGGATGGATGTTGCAAATATAGAGTTCTTTTATTGGCCTTTACTTTAATTTATTTATTTATTACTTATTATTTATTTATTAATATTTATTAATTATTATTTATTATTTTATTTATTATTTATTTATTTATTAACAGACTGTGAAATACAAATAATATAATACAAGTATGTACATTATTATTCCGCTGAGGAATTAATCCAGTGCGCGGGCCTGTTATTTACTTCATAGATATTTTGTAAATAAGAGAAATTCTCCAAGACTGACTTCAACATTATATATTTCCTAATATCAATTATTTTATTTTCTCTATATAAGACTTCTGAAGAATATTTTTTATCCTTTTCAAATATCAGTTTAATAATTGGTTTTTAAACATCACTCAGAGGTTGCAAGGAATTAGCATAGGCTCTTCCCCACACAATTATACCATACGTCGCGACAGACCAATAAAATGCATAAAATATCATTAGAAGTTGTTTTGTATTAAATATTTTAGTAATTTTATAAAAAATATAAATGAGATATCTTAATTTATTTGCAATCTTTGATATATGGTAACCCCATTTAAATTGCAATCTATAAGAATACTCAGGTATTTTGTATGATATTCTCTTTTTATCTACAGACAAGTACAGTTATGTATATTGCAAGAATTTATATGTATCCTCAATGTACAATGATCCAGAACACTGTCCAAATAGCTGCCATATGTAGAGTATACTGTCTTTGTTATGTTAAGGCTAAGATGGTTTGCATACAACCAATTAGCTAACAGATTTAGATTGACTTCAGCTCTTTGAAGAACATCAGTCGATGATTTACCATTAACTATAACACAAGTGATCATCAGCAAAAGATATCAAATCTCCCTTTGACATGGTGAGAAATATGTCATTTATGTACAGAATAAAGAATAGTGGTCCCAATATTGTTCCTTGTGGAACTCCACCAAGTGACCACTCATTCTTTACAAGTAGCATTGTTTATTTTCACTACTTATTTAAGATTAGTCATGTACTTTTAATCAAATCATAAGTAATTGCAAGAAAACCATATCTATAGACCTTCTTTAGTAGCAATTCATGGTTGACAGTATCAAATGCTTTAGCCAAATCCACATAAATAGATATGCAGGGCATACTCTTATCTATTGAAGTACAGATCTGTCTTGTTACATACTTAATAGCATCTTCAGTATTTTTACCCTTAAGAAAACCAAATTGGAATTGGTTTATAATATTATGTTTATTTAAGTAGTTTTCAAATCTAACTTTCAATATTTTTGCAAAATTTGAGATTAGTGAGAGAGATTGGTAATTAGTGGTTCTATCCATATCACCTGATTTGTAGATTGGAATAATCTCACCTTTTTTAAAGTGTTCAGGAAATACACGTCTCAATGGTTTTAATATATGTTTCGAAACATGTTTAATGACTGAAATTGAAATTTGATCGACACCCGCAGACTTTTTACTGTTCATGGCGTTTACAGTATTCAATATTTCTTGCTCCATAGCAGGATTAAGAAAAATAGAACATGCAGGGGATCGTTCGGAATTCAATGTTGTCTCAGTCATTATAATATTTAGATTTTTAGCCATAACGGGACAACTTAAAAAAAAAAAGTCATTAAACTTGTTTGCGATGTCAATATCATTTTCAATGAAAATACCACTGACATCAAATAATTGTTTAATTGAAGATTTAGATGAAGATTATTATTTTTTACCAGTAATCAGAAGCAATAAAATTTAAAATGTTTGGATACAATGTTTTAAAGTAAGGTTAGGAATAGCTCTAAAATCTATTAGTCAAATGTAATAAATAAATTGAAGTGTGTAGTATTTTAATTAATTATCAAAATAAAATTTAAAAAACCATAATTTCTCTGCAATAGTTGATGACAGCTCAGCCAAATTTCGTAAGGAATACTTAACTTAAATCAGGTCCACAATATTTTCAAAAGTAGACATTGTATACTTGATTTGATACTTTGTGTTGTTGATACAATACAAGTTGAGGCCTCTTTACACCATCATCTTCCAAGTGACAATCACCATCCTGCATGGAAATTTATTTTCCACACTATTATGAAACTTATCATACTAACCCTCTACAAACCCCATGAAAAGAAATTTTTGAAAGCCACTATTACTTTCCAACTCAATCAGATTGAATGGTAGAGAACAATGACTTTGAAATGGTAATTGAATACTTCTATAAAATTGTCTACAACCTGATTGATATATGTTGTGGCGTCACCAAATAAAATTATAATAATTTCGTATCGAAATAGCTCCCATCACAGTTAAGTAGCCGCGGACGGGCTTTGTTGCGAAGACCCTAACGACCGCCAGGCCGCGGACACGCATTGACAGCTGCCCGACCGACCGCTGATGAGGGACCTCTTAGTGCGGACACATTTATGACCCGTCATATACGCCCCCGCTGCCTCCCTTCCCGGAGCCACCGCTCAAACAACAATACGCGCCCGCGCCTCCTTTTGCCACGCGCCCGCGCCAGGAATCCAAATTCCCAAAGGGTTATTTACAACTCAACAGTCGCTGGCTGCCGATCAGCCTCCGCTGACAAATTATGCCCAGAAAAAAAACGCAACCGCTCGAACAAGTGTTCGGACAGCTGCGAGAGAATCTTCTGGAATCGCTCACAGAAGAGAGAGAGAGAGAGAGAGAGGGGAGGGGCCGAGGTAGAAAGAGAGATCTCCCTGGAAAATTTCGTAAACGATGCAACCCGATTGGCGAACTTCAAAATTAAGACGCATTTAGTTTAGGCCTATGGACGTCTCATCGTGAGGGAAGGGGCAGATCTGCAGGTTCGGAAACGTTTGGGAGGGAAACGGAGTAACTTGAACGCAAGATGCGCAGAGAAACCTTACTTAGCATTCAGATTCTCGAATAGACACTTACAATTCAGATTCTCGAGTAAGCACTTTTAAAATTACCGCGGAGGTAACTTGGACGCGAGATGGCAAGATCCTGCGTCACTTTCGCGTAAGATGATCTGCATCCGCTGCCTAGTGCCATATCGGGCCCATTCAATCCCGCACTAAACTACGGCCAGTACCTGTGGTCCTCAACTGACTGAGTCCGCACGATTGACGACTCTGTCGCCACGACACGCGCCAGCAGAGGAGGAACACCCAGTGGGAGTCGGTGACCTGAGGCCGCCCGCCGTCTTCGAATGAGGACCGCCATCCGGCCGGTCTGCGGAGCCCGCCAGCCAGTGGTGAATAATCCGGTATTTAACTGAAGTCGAACTATCTCCGTAGTTATGACGCGGGGCTCATTTGCAGGACATTTTGACGAGAACTAAGAGTGGCCGCGCTCAGGCCTTGTGTATTGTAGTTAAATTATGCATGAATCGTTAGAAATAAGTTATTAATGTTAGTGTAAGGAATTTGTTCATTAACTGTTAAGGTTATGAGCTCGTAACATAAGTTTAATAAGTAATGTGTCGCCTCTAGTGACCTGTAACTTCCCTGGCAGCTCATGGTGTCAGGAATAAATTGAATTTTGTCAGAAACGAGTCAATGGACTGATTTTGACCTCCTCACTTCCATCCAATCGTTACAGGAACTGAACCTGGCGCCCGACATATCACGACGAAGTAATGGGCATTACAATGTCCCTCGAATTACCTCAAAAGTGTGACTACTTATCCTCTGTGGTAGAGGCATAGCGCAGTGGAGGCACCAGGGGCTGCCTGCCCTGGATGGCATTTTAGGGGGGTGGCCAAATTTCACAATAACTAATATCTTGTAAAAATTTGAACCATTTCATTTCATATTTTTGTCACACCTATAATTCAAACCAATCGAAATATGCCTTGAATCTTTCATTACTTATTCTGTGACAATTTCTTTAAATGAATGTGTAATAATGGCATCTTGCTCATTGAAGCGACTGGCAACATGATCTGTAATGACTTCCAGGATTTCCCCATATTTTATTTTGTGCTTGGGTTGTTAATGACTAATATTCAGTGAGAATGACTCCTATCAAACAAAAAATAGTGTACAATCTTTTATAATAACACCAGCAAATTAGATTACAGTACTGAGAAGTCCATTCAGGGAAGTTGGTCAGTGATACTTTGACAATTCAAAGTAAGTTTCAATGATGGACCCTCAGTCACCCAATTCACATTAACTTAATCTTCTATATGCATTCACTTTTCAAACTGTGATTGTTATGTTCATAAGTTTTTGTAGTGTATGTTAAATTATGAACCTTGTTGAAAAATTGCATTTTTCATGTATGTATATATTCAACTCGGTGAGTATTAAATATTTTATTTAATAGAATTATTAACAAGTACACAAACAAAATTTTAGTTACAACAGAACTTTTCTTATTAATTCTAACAATTTTATTATTTTCCAAAAATCTATAAATTTAACAGTATTGTTCAATTTCTAATTGGAAGTCAATTTGTAATTTATATTCAATTCATTAATAACTAGTGTTGACGGTCGTCAAGGTATAATTAAAAGGTTCTATATCTGTTATATCAATGTAAGTGACATACATATTAGAATTTTGGTAATAAATGTGATTATTTTGTGGCGGGTGGGAGGTAACAGATGTTAAGTCAAGTTTTTGTCAAAACTGAGTATGTCAGGACATTGCTTTACTATCATTGTGTGTAGGGAGATAAGTGGCATTTCAATTTTACCATTAACATTTACAGCGAAATTTGAATGTCACTTATCCCTCTACACCCAATGATAGTACTGTAATAAAGCAAAATCCTTACATGCTCATTTTAGACAAAAACTTGACTTATTCCCTTTTACAAGTGTACCTGCCATATAGTAAAACATACATATATGTCTTTTCTATTTGTAACCTGTACAAAACCCAATAATGATTGTTCTTGCTGAAAAGTTCTTTAGAATTCCAGTATATTTTAGTCTTTTAAACTGAAATACCTAAGTAAGGGGGCGACGAAATTTTCCTCTGCCTCAGGTAGCTCACACCCTCACTACACTTCTGCTCTGTGGTACACAAGAAGGATGAAGGAATTCATTAATACCAAAAAATTGCTTCACAAAACATAACACTACTAAAAATCATGTTAATTTTGTCAAATTCTCATCATATAGAGCATAGTGAAAAAAACTGACTTAATTAACTAAGTTATTCAAAAACCACATTTCTGGTGGTGAAAATGCTATTTAATGCGACTCTTAAACACTTTTGTAATTTCAATAGCATTAAAATCAAACAAATTGTCTTCAATTCCACTAATGTTTCCTGAAATGATGTTATGCAATTCATTTAATGATTTTGAAGCTGCAACATTATTTGGAAACTACTTTATATCAACTTTTGTAAATCAAAACATTATTTTCCCAACACCTATTTTACATCACTGAATCACTGAATTTGGGATCGTGATCCAGTAGAGTGCCTTTAACTGATCACAAACCTCAACAGTTCCAGGGCAGGACAATGTGCTAAATGCTTTCCTGAAATTCTGTGTATATTCATTAATGCCACATCACTTTGCCACATCTTTAATAAACCCTTACCTGAAGGTCATTAGAATGGAACATTAGCAAAATTATCCCAATTCTAAAATCTAGCAATAGGCTTGATGTGATCATTAATCAACCAGTAGCCATTCTAAGCACCATTCCATGGGTAAAAAAAAAAAAATGTGTCCTACTACTTCTCAACTCCTACATAACATTATCTCAATGAAACAACACGAGTTTTTAAAAAAATAGTTAGTCCATGAATTTATGTATATTGAAGAACTACATTGGAAGGGGTGTCCAGGTGGATATAGTCTACGCTGATTTCGCAAGGCACTTGAAAAGGTTAACCAGGATATCACAGTTTCCAATTTGCAAAATCTGGGTGTTTTTTTTCATGTTGGACAGTTTTGAGATATGACTTCTTGGCTATCAGGGTGAAGCCATGTCATTGGCTGAGATGCCGATGTTTCACTTGTAACATCGCAGGCTTCCCCAGGGTGGTGAGCTACCCTGACCTCACCACCCTGAGGAAGCCTGCAATAAGACAGTTAATCGTCGGCCTCTCAGTCAACGACGCGGCATCACCCCAACAACCAAGGAGTCATAAACTTGAGTCCCAGAAGCTGACGTGTACAGTTTTGAGTTATCTACACAGTTATTACCAGTGTGCGGGGATAAAACAAATTACACGAGATAATTTCCCAACCTTTTCAGGAGTTCCCCAGGGCTCACACCTAGGTACACATATCTTTTCATTGTTTTCACTGACGATTTAAAGAATGTAATTCAGGATTATAATGTTTATTATTGGTGGATGATGTGAAATTCTATCTTGGTATATCTACAGAGCATGATGCTCACTGATTACAGCTGGATGCTGACAACCATCATCGAAGCTGGAAGAACAGCATGGTTCTCAATGGTCGCAAATGAACTTCTCGAACATGAGGAAATTGAATCCTGCTTTTTGGACGATGCCATTGACTTTAGAAGAATCTACAACCAAAACTATAATCTAATGCAAAATTACTCATATCAACAATTCTTAGACATCTTAATTATGAGTTTTCTCCAGAACTCTGAGTGGGTGACTTGATAGCAAACAAAATCCTGCACGATTGTTACCATTAGTTACAATGTTCCAAGCATGACACTCCAATTTCATCCCTCAACAAATTTAACTTAATATGATTGTGATAAAAAATAAAACAAGACACTTCAGAAGAAAGAAAACCGAAAGAAAAGAAATTCCAATTAAGAGAATAGTAAATGCATGGAACCAGCAAATCCGTTACCTCATATCATCTCTGACAGTATAGCACTTTACAATTCCTGAGATCTTTCCTATTCCAGGTTGTGATAATTTACTAATTTTACACTATACTTACTGGTGTATAAAACAGTTTCATTTTCCAAACATTTCTTTAAAACAGGGGTTTGTCTTAAACACTGGTGCACCTTATAGAAGTATTTTTCCCTTGCTTATTATACATACAAATGGGGCAAAACACACACTTCATATCACAACCTGGAATAGCACATCAGTGTTTCTTATACACCAGCAAATACACTACATTTCTGATGTAATGAGATTCACAGATTCGGGTACAAATAGTATAGCCAGTGTGTCTCCAAATACATAAACATATGGGTACAGAAAATGTTTAACAAAAAAATTTACAATAATAGATCTAGATCATTTATGACATAGAATTCTTATGCTGACATTTATTGTTCCTTACCTTAATGCATCACGTCGAAGTCGACAGGAGTTGCCAGGGTGCAGCAGTTTTGCCATAATTCGTGTTAGACTGTGGCACTGCCATCGTCTGGAAACCAATTCTGGCAACAATAGCAGCACACGTTCCAAAACTTGCAGCACACATTCTAATTCTTCTCTGTGAGCCTTGTGCACTGAAACATACATATAATTAGTGATTGCAACAGTGAAGTGTCTTCAGAAGAGTTATTCAGATATCTATTCAGATATCCTAACTAAATTCTTCTTCATTGATTTCAGTGAGTTTGCCAACACCTGTTTAGTTACATCTTTTTACATACAAGATGGTACCCTTTTAAAAAAGTTCATTAATGTTTAAGGTAAGAAATCTCCATAATTAAACATCTATACATCTCTTGAGTTATTACATCGAAATAATAATAAAATTTATAAAAGACGACTATTAAAGATAAAAGTTGTATTAAAATTATGCCTTCCTCTGGTATTCATCACCCAACTCTGTCAATTATATACAAGTTGCAAAACAAACCATAGACAAAAGGATCTCCAAAATGGTAACAAATGAAAATTCTTTAAAAAGTTCTAAACAGATATTTGATAAAACAATTGTAAAACAACACAAAAAATTGTGATATGAAAAATTATATTTGCTCAATACAGATTATAGTAAGCGTAAAAACAATGTTACACTGTGACTAAAGTTTACAAGCATTAACTAATTATAGTCAATATCTATTGATATGAATAGAGGAGTTGAGTATGTCATATCCACTCAATAGACAACAAAACAATATGCAATTTGATGACAATGGAGGAAAAGTGAAGAAAATCCTTCATCATTAAAATTATTTTAACTGTGCCAATCCTTACACATCAAAACTGTAATTACTATAGGAACAAAATAATAAAGCCAAATGCTACAGGAGACAACCAGAAGAATATTCCCTTCTAATGTTCTGTTAAGCTGACTATTCATGATTGACACACACATCCAAATTCCTGACACTCCACTGACCACACAGTATCCTGACACTCCAAATTCAAACTAAGGATAGGTGAGATTGAGAGAAAGAATGAGTTAGATACCTAGACAGATCAAAATCGAATCCCGCCAAGACATTCATGTATCACTCCAACAGTCTGTGGAATGGAATTCCTATGTTGCACATATATTTTCACCTCAGGGAAGCCCTATTAGAGTGGACTCAAGCTCTCGTGTCACTAGACAGGCAATGGGAAAAATTAGCTGAAGTTCTTTTTATACTTATCAATTTTTATCTGTTTACTAGTTAACCCTTGCAAAAACATTGCACAAAAGGAGACACAGTAGAATAGTTATGATACAAAATGCACTAGAAAAAGAAAATAATTACAATAGAAAATGCACAAGTCAGAAAATCAAAAATCTCAAAATATGGTTTCATATCTTTCAGTACTTATTTCTCAAGACTAATGAAATGAACTTTTAAAAATTCTACAACATTACAGTATCTATTCACTAAAAACTTGAAGAGTTAAATACATATCTGACAATGTAATTGAAAACCATAGACTGTATAAGTAAGTTGCAGACTTTAGCAGGGAATATTGCTCCCAAACTTAACTTTAAAACTTAATCCATCATGTGTAATTATAAACATTGAAATTTTTTGTAAGGGGACACATGAGTTAAATGATTGCTGGGCATTATGTTTAATTGCACTTCCTAATCAATGCATGTGGAAATACTCTTCAATCTCAAAGAAAGTTCTCTTCACTAACTATAACTTCACAAAACGTCAACTGCAACAATAAATACAATGGAAACAAGCACAACAAATTAGCAACAACCAATGACGTTCTAACTATACATTGTAGTTGGTCATGAAAACAATTGAGGGAGGATTAACATTCATTCTGTTAATTTTAAGATATTACATATGCATAAATTTTAGGTATTGAATTCAGTGTTTATACTATAAAACCTATTAATAAGGGCAAGTGATCACATGTCAAAGGCCCACTACCTTTCACTTAAAGCAAAAAAATTAAAATCTGATTGAAAAGAAAGCTCAAATTTCTTCAACAAATCCTTGGTGTTTAAGATATATGAATTTCATTCAACATATGAATCTTCCTTTTTGTCACCAATGCTAGCGAAAGAGATTTTGAATACAAAGTTATTGAAAAATGAAGAGAATGTCATGTGTATGGCAAGTCACACATATTTACAACAATCAAGGCAAAAGGTATTTGGCAAGAGACATTAATTGCCCTATTTAGAACTAACAATTATTCATAAATAAGGAATGAAATTAAAATTATTTCATTAGCAATTATTAGCTCCACGTAGAATTATAAGAATAAAAGATAATCTTATTTTTGAGTTACTAAATTAAGGGAGAAATAAGGGGCAACAGCTGAAAATAAAATATTCATACACAAATAAGGTGTACAAATAGAAGTTGCCAATGATTCAACAAATCTGAATGACATTCGTTTTAAAAGCAAATCTTTTGCCCACTTTTTTCTAAGTGTCCTTGTTTTGCAGTACAGGCCAAGAGGGCAGTCATCAGAAGAAATTGTTTTTTATCCAATTTGAAGACAAGCTATAAAACAGAAAAAATCAAAGCAAACAATTTAAATAATACTGTTGTAACACTGAGATACTGACAGCTAAGCCTTCATGCACAACAGTAAATGCAACAATGGATGTCACATTTGGTGACCCACTGAATCTCATCAATTGGAAACAAGAATTAACAGATCGACTTGCATTCCTGTTTAGTCAGTTCTGTTCTTAGAATCCTTCGGAACATGAATTCTGCCTTATAAGTATTACACCATAAATATAATATAAGCATAAATATACTTGGAAAACAAGAGGAACAAAATCTATCCCAGATTACATAATAGTCAGCAGAAACTTGTTAAATTATGTCAAGAACACAAAAGTATACACAGGGAATGAGATAGACACAGACCACTTTTCGGTAGAAAGCAAAATTATATTAAATATACAATGCACAAAAACCAAAAAAGAATAATATTCCACCAACTACACTCAACATTTACCTTCTAGAACATGAAAGCATCAGAAATCTATGTGAAAGAAGATTAAGAGGAAAATTACAAACGGTAGAGAAAAAAAATATCGAAACATTTTAGACTTCACTGAAACAAGCAAAGCTTGAAGTGTAGGTTACAAACAAAGTCAAATAAACAAAATGGTTGAGAACATGGGACAATGACTTGAAAGAGATAGGAAATCAAAAGAAACAAGCATATAGGTCTTACCTTCGGAAAAGAACAGTGAAACATTACATTGAATATAAAAATCTAAGAGCCAAAGTAAGACATATACGCAGAATACACAGTCAAGAAGACCGGAGAAAATTTATCAAAAGTATAGAAAGACATCTCTAGCCCCCAACAAATGGGATTCAAAATTCTGAAAATGCTGCAAGTGAATGTGAAAGACAAAATCACACTAGACTGCATCCTTGTAGAGAACTGGATAAAACAACTCCACCCTATGGAACAATCTAGATCGTAGAACCAACAAAGAGTTAGAAGATATAGACGACAATAGTGGCAATGAGGATATGGACACTCCTTTGAATATTGAAGAACTAGAGACATATTAAAGAAATAAAAAAAATAGGAAAAGCCTTGGATCAGAAGAGATCAACCTAGAACTTACAAAATATGGAGTAAAAAAACTAAAAGAAAGAAGATTACTAGAACGTTTTAATAAAGTATGGCAAGAGAGGAAAATACCATTATAATGGCAAGAGGGCTTGGTCATGAATATTCACAAAAGGACTTAAGGAAGAGCAATGAAAACTATGAACTAACCAGACGAGCAAAGGAATGGCCGATGGGGCGCTAAGCATACAGCGTTCCAATGATATGGAACTGGGAAAAAAGGTTTGATAATTTCGTTTTTAAATAGTATTTATTACTTAAATGTTCAAGATTCAATAAAAATATGAAAAATTAAAAAATTTGAATGTAGATTATTTCGTAACACAAAGCAACATCCAACTATCGTAGCCAGTAATTCCACTTCCATTCTTCTAACACATAACATTATCGAAGAAGACTGTTTTAACATTGTAATACAAAATTTTATACAATGTGTTATATAATATAACCATTATAGTTCATCCTGAACCAATAACACAGGCACACAATAAACTTGTCAGATCCAAAGACTTGGCACATATTTCTTATTGTATGTTAACGTGGTGTATCCGAATCCAAAGCAAGGATTGCGCCACCACTTTCCAGTTTGTTTGTTGTTTCTTTTTTGTTTTTGTTTCTTATTGAAAAAACAACTAGGAACTAGAGGATGGTGGAACAATTCTGGCTTTGGATTCAGTGTGTCAATATACATAGAGAAACATGTCAAATCTTTGGGTCTGATATTTTTTAAATTTTGTGTGCCCGTATAATTAATGTCAACAAATAAATACAAAGTCGCATGGGAGAATTTGGACTCCAGGCTTCATTATTTCATGTACAGTTTGTTTGAGAATGTTGTAAATCCTCCTAATTTTCAATATATTTTCCAAAACCTTCTATCTGCCAAATCCTTTTCTCATCTCATAACTGCAGGCTATCTGTAAATTCTCAAAAATTATTTTCATCTCACGAGTTTCTTTGGGTTGCAAATCTGTGTAATGCCTCTTTGGTTGAACTTTTTAACATACTGCAATTCAGCACACACTAAATTTGTTCACCATTTTTATGATACCTACAATAAGAAAATTTTTTTACCAAATCAAAAGAAAATTAACGGGCTTAGATGGGTTCTTATGTTGCCTGAAACACCGGCAAAGGACCACTTCCACTGCCAAAGTTTTCGTCACCAGCGACAGCCATTTACCCCTCTCTGACTCCATCCTTTGCTCACGCTGCTTCTCTTATCACCTGCTCGGAGAGGGGAATGGAGTTCCAATGTCATTTCTCTTCCAGTTGGCAAACCCTGACCTAGTAAGTAACTGGAGGAATAAAATCAAACACTGTATCCAAATCAGGAAAGACAAGAAGAGAGATACAATCCTATACTCTAACAATCATAACAAATTCCGAATATGATCTACAAAGAGCAGTTTTTGAACTGACAAGAGGCCCAAAAATATTCTATGAAAATATCAGTTTAAAAAACAAAAGTTACGGCATTGCAAGGCAAAGAACAGAAGAAAACCAAAATTGTAATAGATGGAGAAATAGTGGAACAAATCAACAAATTTTCACATCTTGAAAGTATCTAAACATACCCAGGACGATTTAGAAAATAAGTTTTATAAATACAACAGAATTTGCGGAACAATTTAACAATACTTTGGCAGAGACATGGGTGCAAAACCAACACTAAAAATTCACAATATAATGGCTAAACCTACAGCTACATATGGCTCTGAGACATAGATAATGAAAGAAAGAGACAAACAAAAAATACAAGCAGCACACATGAGATTTCTGTGACACCTTGTAAGAGTTACAAGAAGAGAGAGATTGAGAAACAAAGACATTAGAAAGAAACTAAAAACTAAATACTCAGTAGAGGAGAGGAGAGTACACTCTTCTCAAAGAAAATGGCAAGATCACCTCAAAAGAATGAACAATAACAGATGACCAAAACTAATATGGAAATATCTACCCGCAGGGACAGGGGCAGTGGAAAATCAGGACAGAAGGGGCAACAGTAGGAACACCTGGAAGACAAACTACCAGGAATACTGCATAACTAATGGAATTGGCTGTTAAGCCTTAACACCTTACAGTTCATAACATTACAGTACATATTGCAAGTGCTTTTTCAGCAAGGTTTATGCATGGAGGATTATGGAGGGCTTTCCTGAAGAACTAAGAAGAGATAGTTACAAAGCATCTGAAAACAAAAACGATAGTGAAACTTCTAGATGACAAGCTGATAGTTCATAACAGCCAGTCGAATGTAAATGATGACAACTGATGTAAATAACACCAAACCAATGTTAATTATGACTTTTCTGAACAATTGTAAAATATAAGTCCCATGACACCAAGAGTCCATGACTTGTTTGAGATGAGGACAAATGGTTTGTGACAAAAAAAAGTGATGACATAAAGAAAGTATTTGATTGTTTGAAACATTATACCACTCACAATTATAATATATGAAGGGTTTGGGGCAGTAATAAGATAAGCTACAACGGCCAAGGCAAGCCTCCTGCCATTTATAAATGTTAATATCTCAATTTTGGTAATTATGTAGTATACCTACATATGGTTAAGGGCTGTAACAAGATGAGACATCTTGAGCGAAAACCAAGATCTTGACATGTATGAATAATAGGATGAGTGCTGTGGCTTGTCTTTTTACTACTCCAACCCCTTCATATCGTGTTATAATTCTTTATTACACCAAAATATACACTACAACATGCTTTACTACTCATATTTATAAAAAAAAATAATATATGAAAACAATATTTTTCAGCCAACCATTACAACTGCTCCCGTTGCAACCTTTCTAGAATTAACATTTATCATTATAGAAAAATTACCTTCTGCTAGAAATTCAACTTTCAAAGAACCTTCTAATATTTTGTAACAAATCATAACATAATGCTTGTTTTGAAGTTAAAATATACGTGAATTGATTTTTGTTTGATCAATTCACCTACAACAAAAGACAATAAAAATAAACGAATTATTCTAATGAAAATAAAATTTCAGAAAAGAATTCAATAAAAAGGTACACAAAATTTCTAGGAATAAAAAGCACTATTTTATTACAGCTCTTATCTTTTCATTGCAGATGACAATTATATGCAGGACTTCAAATTCATTAAGGAAAACAAAAGAGGAAAAAGCAAAAGCTTTGAAACTGAAAGCAAATATCATGCGGAGGAAGCTCAAGAAAATTTTGCATTTCATTGAACTGGCTTACATAATTCTTCCGTGATGCCCTTATAATGACAATGTTGCTGACATACAATTCATTTGAATTCTGAAGTAAACAAAACATGTAATTTCAGAGAAAAAACAGAATTTTGGGTCCAATCTCTTTCATTTAACTTTCTTTGAATTCCTCCACTGCAAAAAAGCTTTTAATTTACTACAAATTTTTCTAAGTTAGCCTACACAATTTTAACATACTTGAATTTGATGAAATCTTAAATGTCTCAAAATTATATTTTGCACATTGTTGAATGTAAAAATATCATTCTCAAAGTAGTAAAAAATTAGCATTTAACTGCCTCATTTCTTCACCTGAATAAAAGTTTCTAGATAAATAGCAAACTTTTTAGCCCCTCTCGTAACAGATGAAGTAGAAACATGATAGTTCAGAAAAAATTTATAAAAACAATGAAAATATAGAAACGAGACAGAGGGAATTCATTTCTCTTCTTCTTCTCAAGTGGTTTATGTACTATTGTAATGACACCACAAATAAATACTATGAGATTAGTTTAACAAATATACTAAATGTTTGGGATATTATTATATTCAGCAAGACACACAATTGCTACTGTAATCTTCAATAACATTTCACACAATAAAATACATTTCCATGCATAATCCTATAAATCTTCTGCAAAGCCAATACACTACAAAACAAAATAATTTACCACATTGAAAAAATTTCCTCTTGTTTCCACATAATTCTGAAAAGCATGCAATCAACTAAGTCAACAACTAATGCTGTAATATCATAGTCATATGTTAGTGAAATGTGCTCAGGTAACTACATTAAACAACAGGCAAGTCTAAACCCCTAAAACACCAAATAACGCCATTATCTAGCCAACAAAGGTTAAAAAAAAAATATACTAGTTCATAAGTTATCAAAAATTCAACAATTCAAAACAACTCAAGGCCAGGAGCATGCCAGCATGCTATCACTGCCATTGCAATCTGCCTCTTTAACTTACCAAGATGAAATGACAGCTCTGTAAAGTAAGAGAGGTATTTTAGTTTTCTTTCACAAACATTGTTTTGTTCAATTTTTAAAATAATATGAATTACAAATTAATGCTTGAACAATTTGAATCAGATTAAAAATCTGTTTGAGGATCCTTGAAATGAAATTTCCAAAAGTCACCCATCCAAAATTTTATTTTCTACCTCTAAGAATGAATTAAAATTATATTAATAAAGCATTCATTCAATAATTCAATTATTATATTGACAAGCAACACATTATTACAAACTTTATCACAAGTAGATCTTTGAACTGTTTCTCAGTTTCAATATTACCTCTCTGCCTCAAATTTGCTTCTGCTGTCACAAAACTGTCATAGAGTATGTAGTATATGTGGCTGAAGTTGCTTTCAAAAAAATTTTTGGCTTCATCAGCTTCCACATGCTCTGAAAACATCAAAAAAGAAAAATTTATTAGCAAAGTGTAAAAAGAATTATAGGACACTAAGAAAGGTCACTATCTTAGAAACACAAAATTAAAATTCGACTTATTGAACTGACACAAAATTTTCTATCACGGATGAAACCTTTCCTCAAAGTAAAAAAATAAAACATCAAAGAATTAAAATTGAGGTAACTGAACAGATACCTGTTTAATATTCTAAGGCAACCAATATTGATAAAATTGTTCAGATAAACACACGTCAACAATAACAAACACAACATTGCGCCGACAAAAACTCACCAAGAACAATTTTCAAATGTTTAAGACGAGTGGCAGAATCTTTCTTCAGATCTTGAATCTTCTGAGTCGATTTTTTGACATCAGCATGCAATTTCTTGCTGAACATTTTTTAATGTAGGTCTAACGACAACTATTTAATTTACTTAAAACTGCCATCAATCGAAGGGGTAAGAAGTATAATCAGAAGGAATCCGTGGCATGATGCTAATTCTCGACAACTTGTCATTAACGTGGGCGCACTGTCATTTTGTCCAGATCCTGGACTCCAGGAATGACACGCTAGCGCTCACCTAGCGGTTGTTCTGAACACTATGGAAGTACCGCTTATGTATAGGAACGAGGACAAGAGCCTGACGAGGGCAATGAGCATTACGGAACTAGTAAGCAATGCGAGATGTCAACGTACGTATGTAAATTCTTTGATCCTCCTCTTGTGTCAGCCAACCAAAGAGACAGAGTTACAGTAACGTAGTGCAGTTACAGTATACGAATTTACACCATGGATGAATAGGTGTTCTATATACAAATTGTATAGATCATAAACTTCTGTTTTTGTAACATGACGCTTCAGAGCCAGCCTTCACAAAGGAATAGTGAGTACAATAGTGGAAACTCGTCGAATATTTTCGCCAGTCAGAAACAGCGCTTTCCAGCCGTTCGAGGTGTAAACTATAGCGCTCAGTTAAAGCCCAGTATAATGTTATACTGGGGTTAAAGTTCGCTAAAGAAGTGTACAATCCTGTATACTTCGTGAGTTCGCTGCGTTTACACTTCCCGAGCGAACGCTCCCGAACAAACAATTTTCTGTTCGCTAGGCGCTGTTCGCTGTTCGCGGAAACAACACCCGAGCGAATCTAGTCGTTCGGACGAGATCGGTTGGCGGAAGTGAGCGAATGTTCGGTATCCTGGTATGTTCTTTCTTTATGTAAACGAATGCAGACGCCGAGCAAACACAGTCACTCTGAGCTGAGAGGTTCGGGTCCCGAACTTCGGGATGCGGTCTAACATTTTCATTTCTACCTGCGAACACTGAGAAATTTCAACAATCTTGTGAGCATAAAAGTGGATTGTGCAGTTTGTAGTTTGCACAGAAAAAGTACGCAACTTTTAAATTATAAGCAGGAAAAGAAAAGATACAGAACGAGAAATTTGCGTATTTTAATTATATTTTAAAAATTTGTTGAAATTATTATACGTTAATATTACGGACGCCAAAGATAATTCACTTTTATCAAGACATATCAAAATATTTATGAAGTTGTGGCTTGAGTAATGAAGTATTTTATAATCGTTTTAGTTGATAATATGTTAATTTTATTGTTTAAATTTCAATCACGCAAAAAGTATGTCTCAACTTTCGTCGCTCATTTATTCTTTTTACTCTGAAAAGTAAATTCTGTCGCTTGTTCATACTGCAAGGACACTACAGATACAAAATAACCTCACTTGGGCGGGTTACCGCTGCGAGCGAACAATATGGCTGACAACAAATGTTCGGAGCGCGAGCCCGCTCAGTGTAAATGGGTGGTATCATCCGCCGAACGAACAAGCCTTCGTTCAGAACCTTGCTCCACTGTGGTGTACCGTTCGTGTTCGCCTGACCCCTCTCGGGGTCTCTTCGAACGTTGGGCGGTTTTGGTGGATTTTTGTTTGGGGTTTCGGACTCCTCTCCCCCGTACGGGACGGGGACTGGGAGTCTGAGTGGTTCATG